ATTATCTTCTGGACTATTCATGCCACGTCGTGGGCTTATGTTTCACGTCGTTGCATCAGTTAAATCCTTGAATTTCTTCAACTTTTGTACTCCAAGTCTCCAATGTTCCGAGTATTGTCAATTCTGGTCCCTTTCTTCGAAAATGCTCTATATTGACAAATAAATAACAATTTATCCTTATAAGTACCATAATTCGATGAAAATAACCAAAATATCAATAAAAATGTAAATAAATATTGCCTAAAAATATGTATAAATATGGCAATATCATAAGGTGAGATAGTTTTTGGATCCACAAACTTGCATGCAACACCACCTTCTTCAATGACCTTCTTCTTCAACAAGAAAGCACCAAAATCACCAAAAGCTTCAAAATCTTCACACACAAGGATGAGACTTGAGATTAGGGTTTTGGAAGGAGTGAAGGCTGTCTCTGGAAGGTCCAAGGGAGGTATAAGGTTGTTTAAATAAGGGAAAAACCCTAAAATTTAGGGTTTAAGGTCTGAGCTAGTATGCCCGACGTACCACATGTATGCCCAGTGTACTAAGGAGAGTTCTGTGTTCCAAGTCTTGATCAGGTACTCTGCGCGTACCTCACGTATGCCCAACATATGGACTAAAATGCAATAAATCTTGATACAAGGACCAAAAATGTAAATACCTGAAAACTGGATGTTACAGAAGGTATATCAAGAGAAATGGTATATAAACCCACTAAAGGTTTCTTCCCCCCACCAATGTGGGATAGAGGAAACTTGTCAACTTAAAAGATTACCTCTATATTTTCCAATAAACACATACTATTGAACAGACGGCCATTGGATGAAGAACCCATCTTCTTCTTCCTCTCACACCCATACATATACTTCCTCTTCGTTTGTTGATGAAGAACCGTCAGCATCTTTTGGTAACTTTTAGGGGTTCTCGACAACGGCTATATATGTACCTGTAACAAATTGCCAACATTTATGAAGGAGTTTGAATCAACGGGAACATACATCCAACTCCCATCTCTCAATGAAATTTCCATACTAGAAGTGTTGTTGGATCGCAAAACCAAAATGATTTTGTGGTTCTATGCATTCTTCACTACTGCTACATAATCATTGACAAGATGTTTACAAAAACAAATTAACCAAAGTTCAGAAGATACAAAGATAGAGAAAAAAAGAAGCTTGTGATAGTCAATTTCGTGGATCACAGGTGTGGTTGTGATAATCGATTTCTTGGATTGGTGGTCATCTACGCCAACCACCATCGTTGAAGATTATTGTAACGTCCCAAAAATCCAAGGTAAAATTTTCATTTTTAAAACAATAAATCATACAAACGAGTTGTTCCAAAACCGATCATAGTGAATATATTATTTAAACATCAGAGTAATATCATTAATTGCCAATGCGGAAAACTTTGGGGGATGTTGTGCAATCACTTCGGGCCCTTCCCTTTCGAACAGAAAGTACATGAAACCATAAATATGAAACCGTAAACATAAAGCTTAGTGATTTCCCCAAAATACCACATACAACATACATGTATATAATAACACGAAATTGTGTCGGGTCTGTATCAACCCCCGTGTATATATCAACCCCGAGTCCATAATGACTCTATATAATAGCATGTAGCTGTGTCGAGCCCGTATCAACCACCGGGTCTGTATCAACCTCGAGTCCATAATGACTTTATATAACAACATGAGTTGTGTCGGGTCCGTATCAACCCCTCATACATAAAACATACAATCATATCAACAAGAGTCACAAAGACAACTATCCTCCTACAAACATAATCCATTGGGCCGACATTGGTGTCTTCGACCCACGAGTACAGTGAAGAGACTCACCTCACAATCTGAAAGAATAGTTGCACCGATCACTGCTCTAAAAGCTATCTCTAGCGGTCACCTATACAATTAACAAGAACCCAAATCTCAAACTATAAATCAAATTACCCAAAATGCCATTAGGTCAAACCTGATCAAAATCCTGGTCAAAGTCAAAAGTCAACCGAGTCGACCGGGTCAACTCAGTTGAGTACGTTGGGCGTACTCAACACGTACGTGGGGCATACTACGCCTTGACCCGAAGTCGCGAGGATGACCATGTGCGTGCATCGTACCCTTTGGTACGCCCAACGTAGGCGGTTGCCATCCTCCCAATCCTTTACGAGCTTAATCCTTTAAGCTCTTTCGTCCAAAATCCAGATCTAACCCTCAAATGACATCCTTAACCATAATGTTTCCAACTTTATGGTCTTGCATGGCTATTACGTCTTCAACATCCAAAAACCCCAACTTCTTAACAAATTAAGACATCCAAGACCATGCATGGAGGAAAATTAGGGACCAAGGTCACATTTTTGTGGTTCCTAATGACTCCATAATGGACAAAGTTTCCAACTTTATCCATTAGAATGGTCCCAACAAACAAGATCTAGTCTTTAAGTCTCAAAGGGACCAAAAGTGCATCTTTTTCAACTTAATCCATTAAGTCCAAGTCTCCAACCTTCAGATCTGAATTAATATGATATTTAGATGGATAAAGCTTCCAAATTTATCCATAACAAGGTCACAAACTTTCAAGATCTAAACTTTATGCACTTAAAGTGCCTAAAAGCTCATAACACCCCAAACTAGCTCGACCTAACAATTTCGTCATCAAGATTCAAACTTTATACCTCCAAAAGAAAGATCAAGGTGAACAAGGTCTAGATCTACAAGCTCCAATGCAACCAATGCTTCTTCAATGAGTTATGTCTTCTCCAAGGTGCACCAAGAACACTCCAAAGCACTTAAAAACATCTTCTTTTTTATTACAAGACTCAAACTAGGGTTAGGGTTTCAAGAGAGGGTGTTGGAGAGGTGGAGGCTAAGAATGGAATGGGTTTAGGGAAGTTAAGGAGCTTAAATATGACTCAAACCACGAAAATAAGGTTTGGGCACTGATCGCGTACGCCCAACGTACTCTAGGTACGCCCAACGTACTCCATGAATTCCTAGTATGTCCAACGTACTCCATGTAAGCCTAATACGCCTAGCGTACTCCAGGTACGCCTAACGTACTAGACTAACCCCCAAAACCTTCCTAACTTCAAACGATCATAACTTCTTTGTTTTAACTCTGTTTTCGACGATCTTTGTATCCACGGAAAGATAATGAAAAGTTCTACAATACTATCAACTCTTCCTGTCCTTACAACTTTCCGAACTTAAATACAAAATTTATTAAAGGCCCAAACTATCACTTTACGGTTATACCTATGGGCTCCAAAGCACCGACCAAACTCTCAGATCACCAAATCTACATTATCCACATCCAATGGGGCCTAATTCTCTCTCTCCCTTAAGGCCCAAAGCTTTATGATAACTGATCTTCAGGTCACGGCCACGAATTATGAAACGATTCGAAACATGGTGTTATAATTATAGCACAATATCGTTTCTCCTCCCCTACAACCATCGTTCAGCCTGCCGTCTCTGTTCCTAAAAGTCAAAACCCTAGATCTAGGTTAACCACCATCTGACAATGATTTCAACAATAGAATTTGGAACGGTAGTCAACGATTCATGATTCACTTGTGGTTTCCAGTCAAAGACACACACACACAATTGGAACATTATAAAGCACGTACAAACATACACTAAAATATAAAAGGACCAAGAAAGATGTAGGAGAGAGAGAGAGAGATAGAGAGAGAGAGAGAGAGCCTATGGTCTATGGGTTGGGTGGACCCGTTTATTTATTTTTTATTAAATTAATAAATATTAAAAATATGCAAAAAAGAAATGAAAATAGTAAAATTGTTCTTTCAACTTTTTATGAACCATAACCATGAAATGATTTTGATTTTGAACCTTACATGCAAGTTAGAGACTTTTTGGACCATATCCACATTTTTTTACAAACCACAAACACCAAATTTGCAGTTTTGTCCACTATTATGTAGAGTTGAACATTGGTCTCAGGTCAATCTTGAAATGGTCCATTCATTTTTTGGACCGTTATTTTTTTGGTCTGATCTTTTTGGTACCAGGTCTTTTTCGGTTCGGTCTCATTGTCTTCCTGTACGCTTTTTTTGGTTCGGTTTACGAGTTTTTTGGTTCGGTTTTGGTATTTTTTGTTTTTTTGTTTTCAGATTTTTCATTAACAATGTGTGATTAACACCAAAATGATAGATTAAGATTTATTAAAATGAAAACTTACGTTTAATTAGACAAAAAAAAGGAAAAATAAATAGATAATGTATGATAAAAAATTGTGCAATTAACACAAAAATGACAACTTATAAAGTTTGTCTACCAGTCTTTTTCGAGACCGGTCTCATACGGGTCTTGTGTCAGTTTTGGAACGCCGGTCTCGGAATGGTCTGGTTTTTCGGACCGGTCCCATACGGTCTCCAATTCCAATTCCTAGACCACCTTTATATTTATAGTTTAGCATCTTATCTCACTTGACTCAAGCCATCTTTCGATCATTGTCTTTAGCACTATAGAAAAACCGGGCCCTTAATCTCTCAACAATATGCAGAAAAACCGTGCCCTTAATCTGTAATGGAACTTGCAACATCTTGGAAGCATGTAGATGATTATCATGATTATTTAGATGTAACTTGGTTAAATACAAAACCTTTTATGTTTGATAGTTTCATAATAATACACAAGGTGGTCATATAAATGCGTATATATACCAACGATATGCATAAACAAAAATTGAGTTAATGTTGAAATAACATGTTTTATCGAGTATATGTGTTTATGTTATAACTACATAATTTTATTCATCTACATAGACTACATTGGCTTCACCTAGATAACTAATATAAATGCTCAATTTGGGGCAAGAACACAAAACAACTTGATGTACCAACTATTAACATCTCAATCATTGTAGATGATGTATGGTGTTGCTATTGGAAGTTTCTTCAAAAAATTCATTACATAACTTAAACTACTTGGCCTATAACAAGATTTACATGAAAATCGACAAGCTTGGGCAAGTTCATATCATTGCATGATCACATTCTCTAGGAACTACGAGGACGGGTAGCCCATGATTAAAGACGGGCATCGGATCTCTTCTAAACACGTTTTCTTTCAATGAAAGCTTCCACGTGAACCGTGTCACCAAGTAATGGATCATGGTTAGAGTTTCCATCTTTGCAAACTCGCCACCTGGGCATAGCCTCGGTCCTCCACCAAATGGCACGAAACTGTAAGGCGGTGTTGATGTTTGTTCCTCAAATCGCGATGGATCGAAGTGCGATGGCTTAGGAAAGATGTTGGCATCCATGTGTGTCATGCTTGAAACCCACATCACCTAACCATAATGGAAAAGAAAACATGTAAGGTTCGCTTTTAGTAACTTTAAGAAACTTGTCTCATTAAAGGTCCAAGTTTGACTTTTGGGAGTCAAAGGAGTCAAATGAGTTGATATTTATAACCGGTTCTAAAGAATGTAAATAGATGTAAATTTGGATTCTGAAAGTGCTTAGTTGGAATCTAAAAGTCAAAAGTGAATGCTGTGGCAGAAACAAGAACAAAAGAAGGTCTAGGTCTGACTTTTCTGAGTCGAATGAGTGAGTATTTGACTTCTATTTTCACAAGAATTACTTCTTTTATATTAAAAAAATCCATAACTGTATTCAAAGAAGTTAAGAAATGGAAAGAAATAAAGTTTGTAGATACTAAAATCAGACTAAATCGATGGAATAATTTTATTTTGAAACTATGTGTTTTGAATATAAAAGTCAAAAATCATGGGCCTAAGGGAGTATTGGACGTACCTGCCAACCTTTAGGAATTATATATCCTCCGTATTCAATATCTTTGATGGCCCTCCTAAAAGAACCAAAGAAAGGCGGCGTCAAGCGAAGAACTTCCATTGCTACTCTCCATGTGTACTTCATATTCATAACCTCCTCCCATGTCAATGACTCTCCCAAACCCTTGTTTCTAGCGATCCCATCTTGCTCTAGCATTTCAAGATTTTAGACATATATATTTGCATATTCAATTTGTAAATTTATAGTGCTTACTATTTTATGAACCCTAAAAAGTAATAAGTTATTATCAATGGATAATCTACATAAAATTTATAATTTATTAAAAAGAAGTGGATCGGTTCTACCGCTCGAGACCATCGATCATTAATCAGTACAACTTGATTGAAAAAGTCTTTTCAAACTAAGCCTGGCAACTGTTCATCTCTACATTCTATTACAACAATTAATATTTTAATTTTACATGTGGAGACAAATAGGTCTGCCTAACAAAGGGTGGTTAGAATAGAAACATATATACCTTTAACAACAACATCGTAGACACTCGGGTGTTCGGCTAATAATTTGATCATGAAACTTATGAGGCTGGATGTCGCATCATATCCTCCAAACATCAACCCAACTACATTATCCACAATTTCATCATCACTTGTAGATTCCGGGTTCTCATTTTGCATAGTTATCAAGTGTGAAATCAGATCTTGATGAGACTGAGCTCGGTTTTCCTCCAAAGCTGTCCTTTTTTCACGTATTAGATCCATGACTATCGTTTTCAGTCTTAAACTTGAATTAATACTGCGATTGAATTGTGTTAATGGTAAGTTTATAGGTACCGAAAGTAATCCTCGGGTCATTTCTTGAAAAAGTGACAAGAGTTTAGCTCGTATCGGCCCTCCGTCTAACCCAAGCACAAGTGAACAAATTACATTAAATGTAAGAGCCTTTAATACCGGCATCACCTACAACATTCAATGCTAATTCAGAACTTTTAAAATATTGGACATCATGAATGAACATTGAACAGAATAAATGTATTAAAAAAAACCTCGTGTATAAACAAAATATATAGTATATTAAGAGTTGTCAATTTCCCCAGCCCTTTATATCATTTCTCATTTCTGACATCTGCTAATGTTGTAACGTACCTCAACCTCGTGTTTCCCATGCCAATGATCATCAAGATGCTTTCTTATTTCTCGATCCATCTTTACCGCATATATTTTCAACACTTCGGGCCTCAAAAATGATACGATTGCTGTTCTTACTCGCTTATGATCTTCACCGTTCAATTCTACTATGATCTTTTTCCCCAAGATCCTGCTAAGTGATGGTGGCATCTTGTTGGCAAGGGTGTTCCCATCACAGGTGTATATAAACTTATTTGCAGCCTGGCCATGGAGGAAAACCGTTGGGTGCCCAAAAAGGGTAAGTTTTGAGATAGATCCATACTTCTTTATTCTTTCTTGGAACCACTCTTGGTCAGTGTTGGCTCGCAATGCTTTCAAAAGGCTAAAGCTTTGACCGATCATGGGCAGCCCGAGGGAACCCGGGGGCAGCAAGTTTGATGGTCTCCTGCTTCGAAGAATGATTAAAGACATGAATAGCAGCAACAGTAGGACCAAGAAGAGGGTGGTTTCCATGGCTAATGTGACTGTGAATGATTATGGAATAAGAAATCATATTAAGATAAAGAATGGGGCAAATTACTGGAAGCCGGAATGGGCATCCGTATGTCCTTTTCTTTCTTTGTTTTCTCCTCCTTTGATTTGGTCTCTCGTTGCCTCTAATTAAGAATTGAACTATTTAAAATCGTTTAGTATCTATAGTTACAGAAAGGTTTAGATCACAAATAGTTGCTGCCAAGATTGAACCTTGGTTGATCTCAAAAAATATAAACTCATTACCATCTTAGCTAATAAATGAAAATCTTTTTGCAACATGTCACACTCTCATTAATTTGGCCACATGTCATTTTGTGGTTATTTTCAATTAAATTTTTTCCACATGACATTTTGTGGTTTTTTCTATTTTATTAAATTTCACATAATATTTAAATGTAATAATTGCAATAAATATAATAATAAATATATATCAATTTCAATAATTGACTTTCCTTTTAATTTCAACATTTCTAAATTAAAATTCCATTACTTTCATTTGTTTATTTATCTAAATAATTTGTTTAAATTTAAAAGATAAAAAATCACTTTAATTTTAATAATTCAATATTTTTCTAATTTTTCTTATAAATTTAAACTTTTTCAAATGTTTAAAATTTTCATATTTATTTTTCTTTTAAATGAACTCATGGAATACATGGGTCTTACACCTAGTATATATATATATATATATATAT